GGACTGGATGGCCCTTGTGGTCTCTTCCAACTCTATGATACTATGAAAAACAAGCAGAGATCTTTTTGAACAATTGAAATATTCTCTATAAATCCAAGTATTGTTATTACAGCAATAAACAAATTCTTAAATATGTATCTGTGACTAATCCTGGATTCTAATTGCCTCATGCTCATAAACGTCTATTTCCCTTCTTATTAAGAGCTTTGTAAAAAGCTTTTTGAATGTAAACCATGAATTATGGATGCTACATCACTCACTATTATTTAGTGTTTTATTTTTTCCCTACTGTCTCTCTTATACAGAATCATTTATCTCACATTAAAAATCTTTTAGCAAACCTGATTAAATCTTGTCAAATGGGTATATTTAAGGTACACATCTTGTCAATCTTGTCAAATAGGTATAATTAAGGTACACATTATTGGCATTGGCATTAAAACAGTGTGTGGTCAATACTTGATTTAATCTCCATGACAGGAATCAAAGAATACATCAGTAAACAAAGGCAGAGGGCATCACATCAAGTAAGATTATATTAGGTGTTGGTTTTGGTTTTAAGAAAATAACACTTTTTCTCAGTAAGTCATAATTTCATGGGCTACTCATTATTATTTTAAAGGATATTGTGAAGAAATTGGAAAAATAAAGTATTAATGAGTGACAAATCCTACATGGGATTAGTGACAAATCTCTCAGATTGCTGAAGGCTATTACTGAAGTTTTGCAGCAGATTGGGTAAAGATGGTGAGAGGCAAAATCATTAAAAACAACCTCTTAAGTAGGAAAGTTTTAATAATAAAATAATAAGTGGATAGGATAGGAAAAAGTAAACTATGCATAAAACAGCTCTATGTATGATGGATTAAAACAGGATGGGAAGTATGCAGGCTTGTGACCATTTCTGAGGCACCCACCTGTTTCCCCACCCCCATTGGTAACATATCTTACTTGCCTCCCATTGGATATGAAGTTTCATAATTAGTATCTAGAATTGAACATGTTTCAGGGTTGCAATTATCTTCAGAAACTAGGAGTTATACATGTGTAGGACTCATGCTGACTGACACCTTGCTTCCCCACAGGCTCTTTGCATTTCTGCTTACAATTGAAGCAAAGTATCATAAAGAAATCAGCGATTATGGCCTTTACCCCACCTTTTGACCATGCCTCTATATACTCATTGCCCAATCATTAAAGGATTGTCTCAAATCTAATCAATGTATTGTCATTCTGGTGCTAAACAGACCAGCCATTCTGGACTCTTGTTAGTCCTCTGGGAAAGCCACTAAGGTCTTCATCATACCAAATATAACACAACACAATCCTCAAAGATATGAAATGGGGTATAAATCCCTCCAAGCCCTAGCCACATTATTCACAGTACATGGCTTCCTGTACTTCCAGATGTGGTCTGAACCACTCTTCATTTTCCACGAATTTCTCTTCAAGGCTGATAATTATCATTCTCTTTAACTCCCAACATCTCTCTATCCAAGTTTTCTTTCTGACAGTCTTGCATGATTCTTAAAATTACCTTGGTTCTTGCAGGTCTGCATGAACCCTTGCACACTTCTAAATAAAACATTTTCTTTACTGAAACTCTCTCTGCAGTTATTGCTAGTATACATAGGTGAAAAGCTCCCCACAGTTGCCCTCCTCTCACAGGCTTCCTTTGAGCAATATTGTCACCAAATCTCAAGGAGATACTGGTATTTTGGGTTGGAATCCTCAGTATTCCCCACCTTTTAGGATAACAACTGTCAATACCCAATTTGCTGTGGTGGCAAAATAATGGAAAGGGGAGGAATGTCCAGTTTACAAGCCTAATCTTAAGGGAGTGCTCCACTCCTTCAGGTTTTGCCCCTCTTCAAGTCCCACCAGTCTGCAATAAACAATATATTTTGTTTTCAGACATGTAAACTTAAATGTTATTGTTGTGTATCTTCAAGTTGATTCTGGCTTATGGCAACTCTCTCTAAGGGATTTCTTGGCAGGAGTTATTCAGAGGAGGTTTGCCATTGCCTTCCCCTGAGACTGGTAAAGTGTGACTTGCTCCAGGTCACCCAGTGACTTTTTTCCACAGCTTGCATCTACCCTCTCCCTTGTTGAGGCATGAAATCCTGTTGAAATCCTGGCTATCATTTTGTATTCTGTGCAATGCTTTGGGCCTAGCAATGGGAAGGAGATTATGAATATATGTCTGTTGTATTATGGTGATCACAATACACACAAAAATGTGGAAATATTCACAATAAATTCTGCAAAGTTGTTTTCTTTTTCCAGAGAGAAAAAAATCTCAGGTTGCTCTTTTCTGGGTGGGGTGGGTCGTGTTGTTGTTGTTGTGTGCCTTCAAGTCATTTCTGACTTATGGCTACCCTATAGTGAACCTATTGTGGAGTTTTCTTGGCAAGATTTGTTCAGAGGAGGTTTCCCATTGCCTTCCCCTGAGGCTGAGAGCATGTGACTTGCCAAATGTCAGCCAGTGGGTTTCATGCCTGAGCAGAGAATCAAACTCTGGTCTCCAGATTCTTAATTTAATACTCAAACCACTATGCCACACTGGCTGCCTATTGAGAAAAGAAAACAGTATAGCTGTAATAAGAGAGCCAGTGTGGTGTTGTGGTTTGAGCATTGGGCTATGACTGGAGACCAAAGTTTGAATTCCCTCTCAGCCATGGAAACCCACTGGGTGATCTTGGGCAAGTCACAATCTATCAGCCTCAGAGGAAGACAATAGCAAACTCTCTCAGAAGAAACCTGCCAAGAAAACCCTGTGATAGGTTCACCTTAGGGTTGTCAGACGTAAAAAGTGACTTGGAGGCACACAACAATAACAAACAGTTGTAATAAAATTCTGACACCTAAATACAATGAGTAGACTTCCCAAATCAATGGGAATTTGGTAAATCAAAACTTTCTAGTGATTCAATGGGTTTACTTTAATTGAAACAAACAATCAGATTGAGGCTTTAGACTTTAAAGTACTATACGACTCAGTGTGATGCCATACAAGGCTGAGAGGTTGAAAAGTCAGAGTATGAGAATTGTTGGTTTCTTGCACTAACCACAAGTACTGAAAGTATAGAAAACATATTTCAATGTTAGCAGTGAACATGCTTATATAATAGCCCTGCAATACCATCTGGTTTATGAACAAAGGATTATGTGCAAAGTTAATGAACACTTCAGTCTGTGAGCAGCAAGACACAGTTCCTAAACTGTAAGCAGGAAACACCCTGGAGGCATTATTGCCCCTGTTGACATGCTTCTGTAATAAGTTAATTTGCATTTCCAAGGAAAATGCACTGTTCTGTATACCCTTAAAAAGGCAATTGAACTCATATCTTTTCCAGGTGATGCAAGGAATGCATAATGGGAGAATATGGGAGAGCATAAAATGAAACCTTGCCATTCAAAAACAAAGGCAAAAAAAAAAAAAAAGAATCATTAACTGAATGAGATTCTAGTACATGAGTGCTAGAGGGTGCAGATTTCTTGTTTGGATATAAAAGAGAGATTTCACTTCACTGCAGAAGATTAAGCTACAACTTAGCTTTTATATGCAGCATGCTGTCACATCTGTGCTTTTTAATTCTTTCACAATTAAGTGTTGGGTCTGGGTTGGTACCACTGTGTATGAGGAGGGGAGGTTACATCCTTCCCATTCTTAGCTCCCCTTGAAACTCACCATACACACACCCATGATGGTTAGAAAAGATAAAGAGAAGACGGTTTGTACCTGGCAGCTAAAAATGTAGAAGTTATATTTTAAAATACCATTAAATTATTTATAGAATTAAAACAATCAAAAACATCAATTCAAACACAAAAGACAGAAGTAGTTTAGTATACTCAGAAAACAAACAAACCAATTTTTCTTTTAGAATGTGTTGAAATAAAAAGGCCTTTATCTGCTGGCAAAAGAGCAACAAGGAAGAAGCCAGTCTAGTCTCAAAAAAAAAAAAAAAAAATTCCAGAGTATGGGAGCAGCCATTAAGAAGGCCTGCTCTCTTGTTCCCACCAAAGGGTAGCAGGATTAATTATTCTCCAAAAGATCTTAATACATTGGCAAACGTGGCCTTTGCAGACTGTCAGAAATAGTGCACATTAAATTGAGGCACTGCCCTGGCTCAGTGCTAGGGAATCATGGGAACTGTAATTTATTGTGGCACCAGAGTTCTCTAACAGAGAAGGCTCAATGTCTCAGAAAAAAATACAATTCTCATGACTCCCTAGCACTAAGCCAGGGCAGTGCTTCAATTTAATATGCACTATTTCTGGCAATCTGCAAAGGCTGGAAAGAGATAGCACATCAGATAGATGTATTATAAAGCTCCACATGACTGGGAACTCTGCCTTGTTAGGACTCCCTGTCACAAACAGCTGCAACTTTCTTGAAGATCTCTATCAAGAGGAAACAACTGGAGTCTGGTTCAGGTCTGGAATATGTATCTCAATTACAGTCCATGCTTGGGGGGGGGGGGGAGCCTGAAGAAAGGGACTCCAGTTAAATCTTAAATGGTAAATACTTAGGAATCTCACTTTCTGTAAGGTGTCAGGGTGTCAGGGTTGGTTTCTGGATCAAGCAGGAATGTGGCTCATCTCACAGTGATCCCTCTGTTCAGTTTAAACTTCTACTGCATGGTGTTCTATAATGTTCAACACAGAATATCTTTTCCTAGATCATACATGAATGATGAACATACCTGAACACACAATAGTTAATGGAGCATGCCAATTAAGTCCAGAAGAATATCAGCATGTACTTTATAGACTAGAGCAGAGCAATCATATAAAGTTGTGGAATGCTCTCAAAGAGATGGGAGTGCCACTACATTTGATAATCCTGATGAGAAATCTGTATTTAGGACAAGTGGCTACTGTTAGAACAGAATATGGAAAAACAGAATGATTCCCAATTGGAAAGGAGTCAAGCAAGGCTGCATTCTATCACACATTTGCTCAACTTGTATGTGGAGAGAAGAGCAGGTTTAGACTCAGAAGAAGGAGGAGTGAAGATAGGAGGAAGGAACATTAACAATCTAAGATATACGGATGACTTCTCTATTAGTGGAAAATATCATAGACTTGGAGGAATTACTAAGGAAGGCAAAAGAAGAAAGTTCAAAGGCAGACTTACTGCTGAACATAAAGAAAACAAAAACAATCACCACAGAGGATCTACATAAGTTCAACCTAGATAATCCCGAAATTGAAATAGTCAAAGAGTTCCTGTACCTTGGATCAAAAATGGATCAGAATGTAGACTGCATTCAAGAAATAAGAAGAAGACTAGGAATAGGAAGGGTCACCATGAAAGAACTAGATAAGATCCTAAAGTGTAAAGATAAACAACTGAACACTAAAGTTAGAATTATCTAAATCATTGTATTCCTCATTACCATGTATGCATGTGACAGCTGGACAAGTACAAAAGCAGATAGGAGGAAAATTAATTCATTTGAGCTGTGGTACTGGAGACAAGTGCCGAAGATTCCACGGACAGCTAAAAAGACAAACAAATGGGTCCTTGAAGAGATCAAGCCTGAACTCTCTCTGGAAGCCAAGATGACAAAGCTGAGGCTGTCATATTTCGGCCACATCATGAGAAAGCACAGTTTATTACAAATGATAAGAATGCTAGGGCAAATTTATGAGTCTGTTTTAAATAACAAGTCCTTAAATGTATTAACTACATGGGGAGAAACATGCTTGTTTCCAAACCATTTGTCCTTTGAATCATCTGAAAGAGTTTTGTTTAATTCAACATGTTCTGGAAAATACCTTCATGCAGAAAGGCATTATTCAAGAACATGTTTTTCTGTCTTTTTTACTTTGTTTTTCTGTCTTTTTTACTTTGAAACCCACAAACATATATAAATGTCCCTACCCTCTCCTACAGTACTTTGGCTCTCACTACTCTGTCCTCTTCCAAATTCCTATTGAGACTGTGATGCTGCATGAATAAACCTTGTTCTCCCCTATAATCTACCTTTGTTAAAAAGCTTAAAAGAAAGGAAAATGAAAAAAGCTTTCAGGAAACGTCTGAACTGTGCCCAGAAAAGCATCCCATACCCTTTTACATCACTTTTTAATAGCAATCTGCACTCTCACAGGTATGCAGCTTTTGTTCTTGACTGGAACAAAAACCCAAAAGCAAGATGTTTAATGCTGTAACACTCAGCGTGTTTACTCAGATGCAAGATCCATCCCACTGTGTTCAATTGAGCTTCCTCTTTGTAAGAGTGTTTAGCACTGTAGCCTACGAATATAAATTGTTACATACTTTATTTTATCATAAATATCCTTTATCTTTGTAGGGAAAATAAGTGCTTTTCTCCAACCACAACTATGCTTAAAAAACGTCTTGAAACTTTAATTTTATTAAGTTATTTAACAGGATTGATGTCTTTGGTGCACAGAAAGATGAGAGAGAGAGAGAAAGAAAGGTGTTGTTGTAAACTGCTGTTGACCACAACTTATGAAGACCCTATGGATGAGACACCTCTAAGATCTCTGTCCTCAACTGTTCTACTTAGGTCATTCTACTCTTTGTGCCCAGGACCAGGACCTAGGATCTAGAATAGTGTTTCAATTGGTAGATATGTTTTATTTCTAAATTTAATTGCTGATTTTTTTCTTGTTCTTATCTTTTGATTGATTGCATTTCATGTCTTGTTTATGACTTTGTATTTAACTTTAATTGTGTGCTTTATTTTACTGTGGCTAGGTTTCTTGAGCACTACTTGTAGTATAAATTGTGGTATATCAGATAAATAAATAAATGGATACCTAACTATGAATCTGGATTGTGATAAATCATAAATTGGCTTCAACCAAAATACTATTGAGGCCACAATACTAAGACCAAAGGAAATATATTAATTGCCCTCTACAGGTGTTTTATCTAAAAGAAAAATGCTGCTCATAAAGGGAGTACTGAGGTGTACACACTGAACTGACTTGGCATCCCCATTCCTTCCTATTTGATTCCAACCTTCCCAGATTATGTGTGAAGATCTGCTAAGGGTGTCTAAATATTGGTTGTTCACATTTTATTGACCATAGATTGAAAGCTCCCAGTCATGTGTTATGCATGTTTCCTAACTAAGCAAATTTAGGCAAGTGTGTAGGTGAACAGGAAAATTGAGTGTTAAGAGGGCAGGACCAGGAGGCAGAGGCAGGGACAGTGTATGCAGTGTATGGAAATTCTCTTTTTGGGCATAACAACTGAACAGAGCTATAAATCACATGAATTAAATTAACATATACTGTACTTTGGAGGCATGTGGCTATACAAATAAGAACTGGGGGAAAATGGAAGAAGTCTCTGAAATCCTAGAATTAATATTTTCATTTCAAGAGAAGCCTCCATTGGCACCAATTGAAGCTTTCTTACCATGCAAGTAGCTGCCTCAGAGAGCAGATTGTTTGGTCCTTCTTGAAAGCTTCTGTCTGTATGAGTTCCACTGACTGGCCATATTAAAGAATAAGGATAAAGATTGTACAGAGCCAACACCACCAGCAATCATGCACACTGAGGGATTCTGAGAATTGAAGTCCA